TGCTCTGGAACTCACCTGCAGGTCTCTGTGCAATTCAGACTTTCTTCCCTGGAAGGATTCAGCCTCTCTTTGCACTCAGCTCAACTACTTACTCTTTCCAAGCCTGTGGAGCCATCCTGGATTGCATCAGGGAGCAGGATGATCATGCTCAGCTCATTTCCCACATAGGGCAGCTCCAGGATTTTGGTCTGCAAGTCTCCAATGTAGGTCATGTTAAAAGTTGCCTCCTTGAACATCATCTGCACAGGTTTGGTCTCCTTCTAGAAATCAAGAGATGCCAACAGTTAGTGCTGAGCTTCTCTGCTGCTCTCACACTACAAAGCAGGCAGCAAGTCACTCATGGCCTTTTAGGATTTGACCAAAGGGAACTGATCACACACCACAGAGGGCAGCCCTACCACTGCCTTTTGGAGAGCATGAGGTGCATACAGTGCATGACATTCCACCACAACTCAAAAGCAGATTATTCATCAGCCTTATATCCTTTTGGTGTTGCATCTTGAAAGCTGGTTCTAAGCTTGCACAGCTGCAGGGAATAGAAAATGCAACAGCGTCTCTGCATACTCCTGCCAGCTTTTTCAACACATTCCTATAGGAAGAGACCAAGGTGGCAGGAACTGACTCAGTCCAGCAGTCTCTGAAATGCTCTTGGAGATAGTCTTGGTGTAAGCAGCAACATTCCCTTATTTAGAAGTTATATCAGCACATTCAAATATTCCTGGATTCATTTCACCACTGCAGGGAGGGACAGTTTCCAGACATGCAGGAGATCTTCCATTTTCCACAGTGGCTGCTCCAAGCAGGTGAGTTAAGGAAGGCACATTACCAGGACTGCTGGAGGCCAACCCAGGGCTGCAAGGAATGCTGAGGGGCAGCCATGGCCTGCCCATGCCAGGGGCCAAGTCCTCCTCAGGAGCACTGATCTACTTCTAAAAACAAGGCTGCAGAGAACACAGGTCTTCAGAGGAAATTAGTTTTCCATTTCACATGGATTGGCTCAGGGGCAGGAATGCAGCAAGGATGCTCTGACTGAAGAAGACTGAAATTCACAAACTTTCACACCTGTCTTTGTGCTAGATCAGAACTTCTACTAATGATGTGAAAGTTCAGAGAAACTCAGCAAAAAGAGACTTCCAGTGAAAGGGAGGGGGAATAAGGAATCTCACACAGCCTATCCATGCGAACCCTGATTGAAAGATCAAATTTCTTCTTAAAGGTGGTCATTTCAGGCTACTTCAGATTAACAGAGTATTGTCACAGTTTTAGCCCATCATACCTTATTAATGTGGAATGGCCACTCTCTGGTACTCTGTTTGTTGAACTGCTCTTTCCAGTTGCCTTTGAAATAGATGGCATTCACCAACACAAGCTTGGTCAGGGAATCAAGAATCCCCTCTGCCAACAGGTTCTGAATTTTACCTTTATGATACAAAGAAAAACACCCACTTCAATTAAGGAGTTGAAGTGGATCTAATTATTCTCCAAGACAGTATCTGGCCAGCAGATAATAAACAATAGAGAGGAGAATCATGTACCAGGTACAGCAACAGCTGACTATTTGAGTTGTTTGAATTCACAATTCTATATCCTGAACTAGGTGTTTACCCAGACAGTGGGTCCCATTAAACACAACTGAGCCCTGGGAAAAGCACTCACCTTCAGTCCTTTTCTCCACCCAGACATTGATTTGTTTCCTGGAATCCTCCCAAGCATGCAGGAAGTCCATCTCTTCCAGGCCAGCATGGTAGGATTTCTGACTGGACTCTATAAATGACTAACAGGGACAGTCACAACAGATTTTCAGCA